AACGCCGAGTGCAACTTCCCAAGATAGATAGTGCACGTATTGACGCATTCCGGGAGAAGTATTACACTACCAGGAGCCCTCAAAAAGCCATCTTGGAGAGACCCAAGGATATCTTTAAGTCTATGGAGATAGAAAAGGAAAACCATGGAAGAGTTCTCAGAAAAAGGAAAAAGAAGATACCCAAGCCTTATAAAAGGGAAGCTAATGAGAAAGAATTGTCAAGCTTCAGAAAGAGAGTTCTAAGAATACCTAGAGAGAAACATTTTGAAGAAGCCTACTTTTCACACAGATTGTGGATGTTTTTCAGAGAGACCAAGGAGACAAAAGAAGACATCAAGAGAATGTTCCACCAAGTCAGAGACAGTCTATAGAAGAATATCGCATTGGAGAAGAAGAGCGATCCATGGAAGTTCACAATACCATGTTCCATCAGACGTGTTGAGTTCCCTCGTGCTCTATGCGATACAGGATCTGGAGTTAGCATCCTACCCAAGCTTATCATAGATCAGCTAGGTCTGAAGATAGAGCCTACTAAAGAATCTTTCATCTCTGTGGATTGTTCTCAGCAGAACTCTGGAGGAATAGTTAGAAACCTTGAGGTACAGATTGGAGATGCTTTAATTCCTACAGACTTCCATGTCCTGGCCAACAAACTCAACTTCAAGACATCTCTACTACTTGGAAGAGCCTTCTTAGCCACAGTTGGAGCCGTTTGTGACCTCAATCCAACAAGCTCTGCCTAACCCTCATCAACCCTACCATCCACTACAATCATGTTCCAGTCATCAAGTTTCCAAGGATGAAGAGCCCAGCACTCGTAGCAACATGTTTCTGTGCCCACGAGTATGATTCCATGGCCGAGTACGAAACCGATTCACCAGTATCGACCGATGGCAGCCTTCTACCATCGACCAATACCAGTCAATCCGCGTCGACCGATAGATAAACATAGTCATCGATCGACATGCTATTCCAGAAGATCGAGGAAGAGTTTCCAGACGGCGATTTTGGCACCAATGATTGGGAGAACGATCATTACATGCCCAAGCTAGCTAGCATCACTACTCAGGAGGAGTATGATGAAGATTATGAAGAGGAACGAGCCACATAGTATAGATTTCTTCGGGAAGATGAAGAACAACCTCCTCTGCCGACCTTCATCTTCGGAGCATCGACCGATAAAGATCCTTCTCCATCGACCGATATGCCCCAACCCAGATCGCTCAAACGACGTTTCGAATCAAAGAGCGACGAACCTTACTGTGCACAAGTCTATGTCCCACATGAACCACACGACGGAGATTACTCGATTGGGAGCTGGGCAAGCAGTTAGCATGAGAGTTCTGTAGTGGATACAGCACCACTACCATCCACGATCCGACCTGAAGCACCCGTATCGACCGACACGGCCCAACAGCCATCGACCGACATGTTCCTCAACAGATCGACCGATGCGCCTGCTCTACCATCGATCGATAACACCACTACACCATCCGAGGTACAAACACATAAAATCGATTTTACATTACTAACTACGGATGAATTTGGTATTTTAAGGGATCCTGAAGGCCATGCACGAGCACTTGATGGAAGAATCATTCCAACCTCAAAAGAAGACGCTGCAGACATCCTTCAGATGGCCAATGGACCAGTCAGTCCCTACATTCAACCACCCATCTACCAGAACGATCAGCACCAACCACACCCACTTCATGAGCAAGATGGTGCAGAAGACCTTCATCCCAACTTAGCAAATCCAGAAAATCAACGCCTATCGATCGATACCTGGAAGAGAGCATCGACCGATATACATCGCGAGTTTGGGAAGCGAGTTTTCAAACACGGAGTTCGTCGTTTCTTTTGGGGTAAGAAGAACGAATATGGTGTCTACAGAGATGAGAATTGTTATGCAAGAAGCATCGCTGGTGACATCATCCATGTTTACAAAGAAGATATTGAGAAGCTACTAAATAGAGCCACACTATTTGAGTGCTCTTGTATATGTCTACCATAGCATGCTGAATAGTTTACTAAAAGAGTTCCAGTTTGCAAGCTCTACACACAAGCAGAGGTCAAATATATGCTGAAAGAAAGAACCGGTGACCATAACTGGGAGATGGCAGGATTGAGGTCTGAACATGAGAAAGCCATATCGAAACTTCAAGGAGAACTACTATGGAATCTGTCTGGCAATGATTTCGCTCACAAAGAAAGAAAAGCCCTACAAGAAGAGGTAAATGCACTTCACAAAGAACTTGAATCTCAGAGACGATCATCGACCGATACAGCACCATCAGCATCGATCGACAAAACCTTTGATCAACCTATCGAGAGTCACTTACAGAAGCTATCGATCGATGATATACCCAGCACATCGATCGATACTCGCGCACCAGACTACTGTACCAGAGAAGAACTTGAAGAAATCACAAGAGAGATCTACAAATCTATTGAATTCTGTGAAGACGGAGCACATAGATCACTCGACAAACTTTGGTTCCCGGTACAAGGTGACGTTCAAGGTTTGAAATGCACAGTAGAGGACATTCAGCAGGAGATCGAAAACATCAAGAACCAGCTCACGAGCCAACCTGCACAATCCGCATTGATCGACAAGCCTCTAAACCCATCGACCGATGGACAACCATCCACATCGCCCGATAGACCTACACCGAGATCGGTCGATACTAACCCTTCCTCTGTGCAAAACACCCAAAACCTTAACACAATGCCGATGAGTACTGATCTAGAGCACACCTACAGCAACACTGGACGACATGAGTGCAGTTTATCAAGCATTGAGGAGTGGCTACAGAGAATCCACACCTACAGCAACACTGGTCCACGGTTTGCAAGCTAGTATGACCAGAAGCGAGAAAGCCACAAGAAGCTTTTTAACTTCATGGTTTGAAGAATCACAAGACAAGGAGGATACTTGTTTCCCAACAAGTACCTTCAACCCACCTCACTAGCCACCATACCTCCATAGTCAAGCTAAATGACTATAACTAAGCGCTGAGTGGGAGGCAACCCACTGTTAGGTATTTTCTTATTTAGTTTTATTTTATTTTTACTTATTACTTTCGTTTTTATTTGTTTTTAGGAACATAGCTACACGATCACTACCTCTATCGACCGATCAGACACTGTCTACATTGCCCGACATAACCCTATCCATGACGATCGATTGAAGTGACTCACCATCGATCGATACGAACATCGGTCAGGTATATCGTTCACAATTTCGATATCAGTTATACATTTATTATTTCTTATGCTCTAACTCCGACTAGTTATACACTGAGGACAATGTATGATTTAAATTTGGGGGGAGTGGAATTACTGATGCTACTTTACCTTTTTGATGTTTTTAAAAAGTTTTCAAAAATTGGTTTTATTGAGTCAAGAAAGGGACAAAAAGATTTCAAATTTTTTTTTGTTTTGTATCTTACCATTCTTTAGCACCATTCTTAGAATTGTTGACTGCAAAAAGTACTATGGATGCTAAATGGATCACCGATCATCCTATGACAACACTTTTCATGATTGTTTCGAAGAACCAAAGCTGATTTCCAACCTAACCTGACATCTATGTCTTGTATTGGGGCTTGGTATACAAGGGATCGGAATCCTCATGCAAGTCTTGAAGGTAAAAGTCTCAAAAATTTTGGTTTCTTTCTCTCTTTCTTTTGGCATCCCATAAAAAGAAAATAAAAGATTGAGATGATTTCCGGAGAGGCAGAGAGAGAGGTACATTACCCATGACCCCACTATTCTAAATCAAAGGAATGATCACACATTGTGGAAGCAAGGGAGAGGTAAATTACCTATGACCCTACTATTCGCCTACACTTTGTTAAATAAGACTACAAAAAGTAGAAAAATGAATAAGATGAACATTAGTTGTTCATTGGGATTGATGTAAAAGAAAAGAAAGTTTGGGATACAGAGAAGGGAGATAAAGAGATAAAAGGAACCAAGATGATAATATGACTGGAGTCCCAGTCTGCTGAGTCAGTTGGGTCTAGCGTTCGTCAACTCGGGCAACAACCTCGTTAGTAGATCCGCTCGGAAGCAGGATCTACAAACTGCCCAGCCTTGTTCCGGTGGGTCTTCTCGTAAATGTCTTTCATAGATGGAAGAACTCCTGTCTCTTTAGCCTAAAAATAATTTTTAAAATTAAATATTAATTTGGAATATTCAAATAGAGTAAAAATTAAATAGTTATTAAAAATCATCTTACCATGTCTAGACGAACTCCTCCGTGAGGTTTTTGACCCGTGGTGTGAAGCATCTTCGTGTTGCCATGCTCGTCTTTAGTCATGCGGTTCCCGGAGTTTGTGTGGGAGGTTCTGACCGAGTCCGGCAATCCCCGATATTTGATGAGGCTATCCCGCATGTCGGTTGTGAGGCAATCGGGTTTCCCGTCCTCGTAACCATCCACCTGAACAAAAAACAATTTTAAAATGATTTAAATTAAAGTCAATGATATAAAAATATATATATATACTATTATAAATCCACACCTGAAAGTCGCCCTTCCAGTTGTAGACCATGTCGAGCAATCGTGCTCTTGCCTTCGCCTCAAACTCCGTCTTCACCCGTTGGTGAATCCCTAAAGACCGACGATATTTTTGCTGTAACTAGAAAAAATAGAGAAAATTTTCTTAATCTACCACTTTCAAAGTATCCTATTTCAATTTTACCTTAACCAATTTTACCACTAAAAATTTAATATGTAAAATACCATTCTACCCCTCCATAATTCAGTTGTCATACCTATATCTTTTTTTCTCCAGATCTCGTCCGATGATATCACCGGCTATATTGCGAAGCTATGGAGGACGAGATTAGGATTGAAAACGATCGGAGCTCCGGAGAGATCCGAGCAATGAGGCGTTGAGATCAGGAGTAGCCGATGCTCGAGCTTCAAGATTGAATCGAAGCTTGTCTCTGATCCTACGACGAGTGGCTTTCTGAAACAGCCTGATTACGTAAAGATGATGGAGGAGATTCAGAAGAAGCCTAGCGATAATCTCAATTCTTACGTGAAGGATCAGAGAGTGATGAAATCTGTTGGAGTTGTGTTGAATCTTAATCTCAGAGGAGACAAGTCTGAGGTTGAGAAGAAACAAGAGATGAAGGAGAGAGCCGAATCGGAGAAAGAGTTAGGGAACACTGCGTTCAAGAAGAGACACTTCGAAGCTGCGATTCAGCATTACTCTAATACCATGGAGTTTGATGATGAAGACATCTCTTGTATCACGAACCGTGTGGATGTTTATCTTCAAATGGAAAAGGTATTAATATTTTTTATCAGTTAGGGTTAACGAATAATAATCAATGTCGTTTGGTTGATTGGTTTCAGTACAAAGAGTGTATAGAGGATTGTGACAAGGCGATTAAGAGAGGTAGAGAGCTTGGATCAGATTGCGAGATGGTAGCTAGAGCTTTGACTAGAAAGGGAACTGTTTTTGTCAAAATGGCGAAATGCTCTAAAGACTATGAACCTGCTATTGAAGCTTATCAAAGAGCTCTTACAGTGCATCGTAATCATGAAACGTTGAGTAAGCTGCACCAAGCTGAAAGAGCAAAGAAAGAATGGGAGAGGCAGGAGTATATTGATCCCAAGATTGGTGTCGAAGAGCGTGTGAAAGGTTATTTATTTTGTAAACTAGTCTTGTGTTGTGTGAAAACAAAAACAGATAAAGAGTGGTTTTGTAATGCAGGTGATGAAGTTGCAGTTTTTTCCTCTGTACAAGACTGGATTCTATGAATGAGATCACGTATTCACACGTGAAGCTCGCGTGATATTAATGTATACGTGAGTTTTGTTTAAAGTTATATATAGTCAGAGACTCTGACTTTAGAAACTTCTTCTTCATGTGATGTTTGCTTCTCCTTGGTGTTAAGTTCCTTTGTCCTTGTTTTTTTTTCTCTTTTATCTGACAATGGCTCAAACAGGTGCAGATGATGATGAAAAGGCACAGTCTTTGCAACCTGAGTTTGCTTCTAGAAATGGTGTTGGCGATGACAAGGAGGAGCTTTGGTCGCAGTGGGCTACAGTTGAGAGATTAAAAAAAAAAGGATTACTACTGTTCTTTTTCAGAGAAGAGATGGAGCTTCGGATAAAAGGAGAGTCATTGATGTTACCAATCTTGAAGCTGCTGAGAGACATTTGTTGATTGAAAAGCTTGTCAAACAAATCCAGGCTGATAACCTCCATTTACTCAGAAAGATAAGGAAGAGAATCGATGAGTAAGCCTTGTAATAGTTATCTGTGTATGTTCCTGTTTGTATCACAACCTTCTAATCTGTTGTAACGCATATAACTGTAAGGTTGGTATAGAGTTACCAATGGTGGAAGTGAGGTTCAGTGACCTTTCTATTGAAGCGGAATGTGAAGTAGTTCATGGAAAGCCTATCCCAACTCTTTGGAATACTATCAAGGGCATACTATCTGTAAGTCCCGTTAAATGTGTCTGTTACATCCATCTGGAAATAAAGGACTGTTTCCGTTTCCATGTTCTTAAAAATTGATTTTTTATAGAGGAAGATGGTGAGAAGAGCTGTGGGAATCTATTGAATTTTTTTGGATGTCCGCTTTTGATTGAAAGGCACTTGCCAGCTATAAGGAACTTGAGGAAGAGACATAAGACATAAGAAGAGAATGGTGAGTTCAAGATGTTTGTTCTGTTTTCACCTGCAATATTTGGAGCTTGTTTTTGGTCATTCAGAATACATTAATCATACACTTGGAGCTAACAGGTAATAGAGATGAGCAAATTTCGTATCTCGTTGTGAAAAACCGTGTTCATAGAAGAAGGAGAGCGATTCGTGGCAGCCAAGGAGTCATTTTGTGGAGTATGGAGTTATTGATTCAAAAGGCAATGTTGTTGATGAGGTACACATTCAAAAGCTCTCAACTTTTTCAATTTTTATTGACTCTTATCATAAAAAGCTCCAAACTTTGTGATATAGAATCTGAGTCTGCTTATTAGGTTTTAGCTGTGCCTATGTTGGATCCTCAGTCATACACAAGGGAAGATGTAATTGAGCTTCAATGTCACGGTAGCGAAGTTTTTCTACGGCGTGTTTTGAGAGCATGTGTTGACGCTGGAGCAAGATTAACAGAACCAGGTGAGAAAGATGTATTGCTTATTCGGTTTTGATGTGTGACTTTCTTATGTGAGTTTTGGGTGCTATAGATTCTGAATCCTCCTTTTTCTATTTTTAAATAGGAGAGTTTACACTTCGTGCGTTTCTAAATGGACGTTTAGACCTTACACAAGCTGAGAATATTGAGAAGTTTATCTCAGCTAAGTCTTCTGCTGCTGCAGATGCCGCTTTAGAAGGGATTCATGCATAACATCTTTACTCCTTGTGACCTAATTATATATTTGATCATTGTTATGTAACTAACTACAAGTGTTGTTCTTCTTCTTACTTTTAGGTTTTATTTTGTAACAGTTAACATTAATGTGGAGGTTTATTTTTCTTTACTTCTACCTCCGTTCTACAATTAGTATGTTAATAATTTCCCCTAGGAGGTCAGGTGTAACAGTCAGACCAGAAGAATCATCTTCTCTTAACAGTATCCTCAGGTGTTTCAAGGAAGAAGTTCTTATCACATAGAGTGAACTAGATGTTGGAGGAGCAAGTGGAGTTCCACAGAGGCAACAAACGTTGGGAGAGATGACTTTGGAGGAGTTCTTGGTCAGAGCTGGTGTGGTTAGGGAAGAACTATCTGTAGATTCTACATGCTATTGTGGTTGTTCAGCTTTGCAACTGTGGTCAAGTTTATATGGATTTATAAATTAGCTATAAACATTTCTTATAAGTATAACCTAAACTATATAGTTGATTTTATATTCACAATGAAAATTCATGTATTCTTTATTAACATTTCAATATATTTTGATAATATTTATTAAAATTATATAAAAACCCACATATAAATTATATGAAACATAAAAATATAAACTAAGTAATATAATAAAAACGTCAAATTTCTAAAATTTTATGAATATATATACCGAAAAATTAAATATAATTTAATTTTATAAATAAACATATTTCAAAAAGATTAAAATCTATAAAAGGAAATTTTTGTAAATTAATATCTCTATAAATTAATAAAATTTCAAAGTCCCAACATTATTAATTTATAGAGGTTTTACTGTAATGTTTTAATATGATTTGCAATCCATACAAATGATTTTATTAACCCTTATAAATGATTAGCTAACCCTTAAATGATTTATTAAATCTTATAGATGGTTTATCAAAATCTAAAAATGGTATATAAACCTTTATAATCAATTTACTAGATCTTATAAATGATTTATAAACTTTTATAAAGGATTTGTAAACCTTTGTAAATCATTTATAAAAATTTATAAATTATTTATAAACATTTATAAATCATTTAAAAATTACACATATATTCTTGATGCATTTGATTTTTTTTTTTAAATAGTTTTGTAAATCCATATAAATTTTGTTATAAACCCTTATCAAACTCTTATGTAAACTTTAAAAATATGTTTTTAAGCTCTTATAGATAAAGCTATGAAATATTGACCTATATGATTTTTTAAATCCTTATAAATGATTCTATGAACCTTTATAAATGATTTAGTTAGCCCTTATAAATAATTTATAAGATATATTTTATTAAGTTCTAAAATGGTTTATAAGGTTCTAAAATAATTTTGTAAATAATTATATATAATTTACAAACAATTATAAGAGAATTAAAACATTTATAAATAATTTTCTCCATTCCTCATTTAGAAAACTCTGAGGCTGACTCTGTGGCTAAGTAGCTCTCGCTTCTGTAAACTTGTCCTCCCTCGAGGGAGTGTAACTCTTTGAAGTTTAGTAATGAAATGTTGTTTGACCAAAAAAAACATTTATAAATAATTTATTAACTTTTATAAATGATTTACAAGCCATTACAAGTGATTTATAACCTAATAATCTACAACTCTTGAACGTTGCATCTAGGGGATTTGAAGATGAATCAACCATCCCTGTGTTTGATATTCCAATGATTTATAACTAACTACAACTACTTTTGCTTTCTTCTTGTTGAAGCAATCTCCAACGCCCAAGCTTTTCCTATATAAGTAAAATATAACGGTTTATAAATGGATTTACAAGTGTCTATAAACTAATTTATAAATGTTTATAAACTGAAATAGAATAAATTTATTTATTAGAACTTATAAATTGATTTATAAATGTCTATAAGCTAATTTATAAATGTTTATAAACTGAAGTAGAATAAATTGACTTTTGTTCTGTGGTATAAAATGATTTGTAAATAATTAGAAACTCTTATTTAATGGGTACAGTTTTATAAGAGTTGATAAATGATACAAACCCTTTTAAATTCTTACAAATGAAATACCAAGTTGGTTCCAAGAAAATCCAATCTGCAGAGGTTCCTTTTCCGTTTTGTTACATCTTCTGCCTCTGTTTCCTCTCGTGAAGGGACTCTTAAGTGCAACTTCATAACATCATATACAGTGAATCCGATTGCCACAGATGGTACAACCTAGAGAAAAAGTTTGTCATGTTAAACATCCATTGTCCTTCATAACTCTTTGGGTCAATTCTCTTTACCCTGTGTTCACGTACTTACACTTTTTTTTCTTTTTTTTTTCTTTTACTACAAAACTTTACAACAGTAAACAAAATTGTGATCTACCAAACAAATGTATTTACATTTACTTGGTGATAAGTTTTTGTCTTTTTTATTGTTTTTGAAATTTGTATACGCTATATAACAAGTGAATTGTCTCGGATTTGATGATCTACAAGTAGAAGAGCCTCTAAACTATTTATAAACTTTTTATAAATTCTTATAACGTCTTTATAATTTCTTATAAACCTTTTATATAAACTCTTCATACCCCATTATAAACATTTTATAAAGCCTTATAAATCTTATATAAACTTTTTATAAACATATAAACTCTTATAAGCCTATATAAAACCTTATAACTAATTTATAAAACCTTATAGATTCTATATAAAATCTATGATTATAAATGACTTATACAATGATTATAAACTAATTTAGAAAGGCTTATAAACTTATTTATAAAAAATATAACTAATTACAAATGGCTTATAAATAATATTATAACATATGACAAGGAGAAACAGAGTCAGTATGATGTCAAGCGCAAAATCAATTCACAGGTTGCTAGCAGACAATTGAATTCAAGAAGTGCTAGTGGGAGTAGTGTTAAGAAGGCTACCTTATAAATCAGTTCATACATTCTTGTAAATCAAAATAAAATATCTTATAAATCATTTTATATATAAGATTTCATAAATCAGTTTCTGAACCCTTATAAACCTTTATAAATAATATATAAGCTTTTATATATAATTTATTAACTCTTATAATATTAGATAATTTATAAATGTTTAATAAATCCTTATAATTTGTTTATAAGCACTTATAAATGACTTTTTAAACCATATGAACAATTTATAAATCCTTATAAAATGACTTTATATATTCTCTTATAAGAGTTTTTATTTCTATTTCATAAAACTTGTCAAGATTATATAAAATTTTATTAATTTTCTGATATTCTAAGAAGAGCATGCTTTTGATATTCTAAAAATGTGTGAATAGGATGTGTTGGGACCGTTTACGAGTCGAAGAACATTATGAACAATTTATAAATCCTTATAAAATGACTTTATATATTCTCTTATAAGAGTTTTTATATCTATTATATAAAACTTGTCAACATTATATAAGATTCTATTAATTTTCTGATATTCTAAGAAGAGCATGCTTTTTGATATTCTAAAACAGTGTGTGAATATGATGCGTTGGGACCGTATACGAGTCGAAAAACATTAGAAGTGCATTGAGTAAATCTATTTATAAATGATTTATAAACTCTTCTAAATGAAAACTCTTATAAATTGTTTTATGAAGATTACTAAACTCTTTTAATATTGTATTTTGTATAAAACCTTATAAATAGATTTATTAACCTTCTAAATAAATTTATAAACTCTTATAAATGGTTGATAAGTTCTTGTACATGGTTTTATAAACCCTTAAAAATAGTTTTATAAACCCTTAAAAATAGTTTTATAAACCCTTAAAAATAGTTTTATAAACCCTTAAAAATAGTTTTATAAACCTTTATAAATAGTTTATAAATATTTATAAGTCTTTTATCAACTGCTTAAATGGTTCATACAAGGTTTTATAAAATCTTATAAAGACACGTAAATAGTTTTATTAATCATTATAGATGTTTCGTTCTCGCAAACACAAATAATCCATCGAAGAATATATAGATAAAATGAAAGATGGATCAAACACAAGGTATGTCTATAACTTTCAAGTGTTGTCAAATTCAGCATACTATGATTATTATTGTAGAAAAAAATTGCAGAGAACAACTCGGTCAGCACCTGTATGTAAATACCAGAGAGCAGAGGCTATTCCCTTAACAACCGCAAGTCTTTCTGGCCAAGAAAGAACAGGTTTCGTATCATCAAAGAAATGCTCGTCAAGACTACCGTTTGGCATGTACTCTGAGACCAAAATAAGCTCACGCTTTCTCCTCCAGTAACCGAAACGCGGAACAAGATTCCTGTGTTTCAGACACTCATGGACACGACCTCAGCCACAAACTACTTCACACCTTCATCACCATTGTGGGAAACTCTCTTCATTGCTATCTTTCTCCCTTGAGGAAGGTTTCCTCTATATATAGACTTCACCAAAACCTCCTTTTCCTAGAATTACTTGTACATAATCACCATTGTAATTACTTGTACATATTTAACTGTTAATGAAATAAAATGGTTTTGTTAAGCGCCTATAAGTTCACATGTACACATGATGAAGGTGTAAGAGAAGAGCAGGAAACAAGGCTTCTAGAGCCGTTTAACCTCAACAAATAATAGACATCAAATGTATGATTTTAATCTAGGAATACATGTAGAAACCCGGAATACAAACCAAAACTAATTAAACAGAAAGCTGATTAATAACCCGGTTAATTCTCTCTCTAATCTGTGTACCAATGATCTCTATGTGTATTGAGACCGGCCACCCTTTTCATCTCTTTATGACTATACCAAAGCAAAGGCTTCTCGTACGGCACCAGTTATCTTTAAAATGTTGCTTTGGAGAGCCGAACTCCACTATGCTATAAATGTTTATACATCATTTTTTATTGAATTATAAATCAATTATAAATATTTAAAATGAGTCTATAAATAATTTATAATCTTTTAAAATAATGTTTATAATTTATAAAGCAATATAAAAAACTAATAATAATTTACAAATGATTTTATAAATATTTTTAAATGATCTATAAACCATTATAAATAATTTATAAACCCTTATAAATGATTTATAAGCTCTTATAAATGATATACAAGCCTTTATAAAATGTTTTAAGACTTTATAATTGAATTATCTTTAGAATTTATACAAATCCTTATAAATATTTTTATAAACCCTTATAAATAATTTTATATATTCTTATAAATGATTTGTTGATTATTATAAAAAAGTTTCTATATATTCTTATAAACTGTTTATAAAACAGATTTAAAAGGGTTTATAAATGATACAAACCCTTTTAAATTCTTAAAAATGAAATACCAAGTTTTTGCACATTTATAAAATTTTATTAATTGATTTATAAGGGTTTATAAATTTATTTATTAGAATTTATAAATTGATTTATAAGGATTTATAAATGAATTTATAATGGTTTATAAATGGATTTACAAGTGTCTATAAACTAACTTATAAATGTTTGTAAACTGAAATAAAATAATCTGAATTGTTTTCTGTGTTATAAAATGATTATAAAGGCATATAGATATATCACCCTCATCAGTCATTCCAAGTAGCTTCTCAAGTAGCCAAGGAAGCTTGTCAGCATCTGATGGTATTACACTGACAACTTGAGTGATATCTTCATTAGCCATCCCAGCTTCACCAACTATGACTCCAATAGGATCTGAAAGAATCTCCCTAGCTAACTTCTCAACTTTCCAAGGCATAGTAGCCGAGAAGAGTAACGTCTGGCGATCTGGACGAATCTGACCAACGATAGACCTCACTTGTGGCTCAAAACCAAGGTCAAACATCCGATGAGCCTCGTCAAGAACCAAATAAGAGGCTCTCATCATTGTCAAAGCCTTCATTTTCAGCATATCTATCAACCTCCCAGGAGTAGCAACAACAATCTCACATCCCGCCTTGAGTTCTCTAAACTGTTCATGATTCCCCATTCCACCATACACAGCAGAGACTCGCAACCCATACGCTTTAGAGAATTTCTTAGCTTCCAAGTAAATCTGATGAGCGAGTTCTCTGGTTGGAGCACATATGACACCAATAGGACCTTCTTCTCTCCGAAGCTCAGGCTGATCCATAATATGAACAATCATGGGAAGAACAAAAGCTGCAGTCTTCCCAGAACCAGTTTTGGCTATACCAATAACATCTCTACCGGATAACACAACGGGTAAAGCTTGACACTGGATAGTTGTTGGCTTCTCATAAGCTTGCTTTTTGATAGCACTCATGATCTGTGAGGAAAAGCCACAATCTTCAAAGGTCTTCACAGGTCTAGGAACATCGAAACCCGACACACGAATCCCCAAACTGTGACGATAATCCAAATCTTCTTGCTCACTCATTCCTGGATTAAGATACTGATTAGCTAAGTGAATTTGAATCTAAAACAAACAACAAAGCACTTGCGGCATAACGTAGTAACCGTTGCTTAAGTCCAGATTCATATATCAAGCTACACAAAACAAAACAAAAGCCAGACCACTGAATAAATTGTTTCATACCCATTACTTCTTTACAACCAAGTCAGGACCTGACTCTGAGACACACCTTTCCCATAAGCCATCAAACTCCTTAGCAGGAAGAATCAATTCATTAAAGCTAAAAGGTTGTCCATCAGGGCCGAGTTCCTCACATGGTCCTTCCTCAGTTAACTGGATGCAAATCATAAACAAGTCATGTATAATATGTCACCAAGAGAAAACAAAGTTATTAAACTTAAATCAGGTTTGGATTTACCTGAAAGGCATGGACAACAGGCTTAACTTGCCAGAACAAGAGCACATCATTATACTTCACCCATTCCTCTATAGATACAGAGGGTAAAAACATCAGTAACAACTCTAGAATTTCTCTATCGGTGATTAGAATCTAAGTAGTACCTGTATCGCAAATGCATATGCGTTGGACATTTTCAACAAGGAACAAGTCGTGTGAAGGTATGAGAACAAGTCCATCTACATAGCTCATGCTCCTATTTTCCAGCATCCTAAACCAAATCACCAACATTACCAAAATGGAAACGCAGTAAAGGTGAGCAAGCAGATGTATATATATATTTACAAACCGCTCTACAGCTCTCTGAACATCCTCTAGACGAGCCTGTGCTTGATGGCTTTAAGAAAACCTCCACTATTATTTAGAAGCAACACCCAAAAAACTAAAGTCACGGAAATCGAATCGAGCAGCTAAACACAAGTAAGTAGAATCATTTATACCAGATACGAGAAACTTGTTCTGGTGGAGGGGAGCAGGAGGAGACAGAGGAGGAGGAGGATCTGTTGCAACGATTGGCTCCGCGACGTTTAATTTCTCAGGGATAATCGTTGGTTCGATGCAATTCTGGTGAGAGATATCCATGGAAAAGTCGTGAGATTCTCTCCATCTCCTCGGTGGTAGATTCTCTCCATCTCCTCAGCGGCCACTTATCCTGGAGGTGGAATAACACATCGTGAACAGTGAAGGAGGCAGTGAAGGACTGAACCTCTCTGATCTTTCGTCGAGAGAGACGGCGGAGGGAAAGAAAATAGAAGAGAAGATAGGGGAGGGTAGTATTGTCTTTTATCATTAATGAATTATGTATTTATGAAAATGTCCCTTGAGTGGTGGTAAAGTTGAATTGTGGTATCACAAAAATGATATTTTTGCAGTTGTCCCAAAAATAAGAGACGGATTAGTTCAATAATATAAATAATCTTAAATATTAAAAATAAATTAAGTTGATTAATTAAACTTACAGCGAATGATTTGAACCACTCTTTTTTTGTGTGGCTTGGCGTCTTCTTCCAGTTTGGAGCGGCATCGGGAAAGTATCCCTTGATACAGTCTGTGACGCTCTGAGCGACACATTCGTCAAGACCAAGCCTGGAAAGACACAAAATAAAATATTAATTAGATTAATTTATATATATTTTGTTAATTAAGAAATAAATTAAAAATACTTTTTAAAAATTAAAACATACCATAATATGTTGTGGCCGTCCCGTCGGATAGGATCTAACTCTGGCAGTCCTTCTCTGCCTGGAAGGGCCATAATATCCTCCACTGTGTACACCGCAAATGGTGCGTTTGGCGGCACCTGCAAATCGAGATGAACCCTGACCGGTGGAGGAGGAGGAGGTGGTGGTGGTGGTGGTGGAGGAGGAGCTGCTTGCTTAGACCGGGACGCCGTAGAAACTCCCTGAGTCTCGAAAACAGCGTCAGGATCCGGAATCAAAGATGAACCGGGAGCTGACGAAGATGAACTGGGACCAGACTGACGCCCGAAAAGATATCCGTAGTGATTCCCCTGAAGAGGCATCTTAGCCTTAGCAATCTTGCTCTGTCTGACCATCTAAATATTTTTTTTAAAAAAACAAAACATTAATTCCCGTATAATTTAAAAAACAGTTAAAAAAAGTAAACAACATAATCTAAATTACCTAAACTAACCACCTAATCTAAATTCCCTAAACTAACCACCTAATCTAAATTCCCTAATCTAATCACCTAACTAGGAAATATAGAGAACCTTAAGAGAATTCAGAGAGAAGCTTACTACAAATGAGAAATCGGATTGCTCGAATTTATATAAGGAATTTTGTTTTCTCGTAAAGCCCTAGTAACATTACTAGGCCTTTACGAGGAAATATCTATGCCTGTGTTTTTATTTCCTCGTAAAGTCCTAGTAATGGTATTACTAGGACTTTACGAGGAAACTTCTTTACGAGGAAATAGCTATGCTCGCATTTTTTTCCTCGTAAAGTCCTAGTAATACCATTACTAGGACTTTACGAGGAAATAGCTATGCCCACGTTTTCTGTTACTAGGGCTTTATGAGGAAAGGGTTTGTAAATCCCTAAACTCGAAACCCCAAACTCCAAACCACAACTTCCTTAACTTATAACCTCTTCAACAACCAAACTCCTAACCTCTTCTACACATAAACCCCAAATGCATATTAATTTTGTGATTAAACAAACTTAAAACATATATAATCCAAATTCATTTTGTGATTAAACAAACTTATAAACATACATAATTCATTCAGATACATTCTCTTAATCTGTTGAAACATCATCATTTTCTAAAAACTCGTCCTCTACACCTTCGTCCGTTGAGTGATCAGGAACATATTTGTATTCACGATTATGCGGATCAATGAGTAGGATGTCCTCAATTTCTGCTTCAGGTTCCTCGATCTCATTGGTGTTTTCTTCTTGTAATGGTGGTTCTTCTCCAGCGATTATTCGTCCTCGAGGTGTAAATTTGATAACAGCTAACCAGTTTATTCCCGAGGTAGTAATCTGAGGGTATGGACTGAAACAAAATTGATCTGCTTGGGAAGCTTATATGAAAGGCTCGAACTTGTTGTACCTACAAAAATAAAGATCAATGTAAAAATTAATTAATACTCGAAACCTGGATATTTAAAAAAAAAAAAAATTTGTTGTACCTTCGTCACCATTGACATCAACTACACCGTTCTTGTTAATCCGAACACCTCTGTTGACGACGGGGTCGTACCACTCACACTTGAAGATAACGCATTTCAAACTCATACCTGAGAATTAAACTTCATAAATCTCCTGCAAGATCCCGTAGAAATTTGCTTCGCCTTTCACACATATTACATAATTACTTGTCGCCCGGTGTCTACCATAGTCATAGGTATGAAAAGTGTAGCCTCGGGTGAAATAAATCGATGATGTAGTGACCTTTGCAACTGGAACTTGAAGTAATTCGCAAAACCATGCGGGATACTCAGGATCGTCATAATCAACCTGCAACAAAAAGTAATATAACTAGACATTAGACTTACTTTGTGGTAATGTTTACATAAAATTTAAGTAATAATAAATACATTTTTCCTCAACCACTTGATAAAGTTTTGATCTTTCCTTTTGTCTAACTCAGTTGTCAATATACCATGTGTTGCTTCCTCGACTTGAGTCACAAATTGGCTGTAAAATCATATATGTTATGTTATATATTTAATATTGAATATATATATATATATATATATATATATATATATATATATATAAGTTTGTATGTTTATATATTTACCTTTCAAAATAAGCAATCAATGGATGCTCGCAATTAAGAAGAATATAAAGGTTTGCACTATGGACGTCTTCATCACTCGACCACCAAACCTCTTTCAATTTCCCACCCAATCGCCCAATTTGACAAAAGATGTCTGGAACATCGTCTTCCATATATGTCGGCACGACACCACCATCATCATATCTTCTTGGAGCTCGTTTCCTTGTACGTACTTTCGGTGAAAAGTAGTACGATGTGAAATGTGATGTTTCTTCCGTCAAACTTCCCGCAACAATAGAACCTTCAACTCTTGCTAGGTTTGTGGCTTTTCCTTTCAATGTTTTCATGGCCCTTTCATACTGATACATCCATCCATAATGCCTCATACGGGAGGTGGACAACTAGGTGTTCCATGACGTCAAAAAGAGTAGGCGGAAATATTTTCTCCAAGTTGCAGATTAAGACGGGGATGTTTTCATGAAGTTGTTGGACAACTTCCACTTTAAGAGTGTGGGTGCTCAGATCTTTAAAAAATGCTCCAATTCCTTATATATTACAAAAACAAAAATTATCCACATTAGTATATATATAAAGAAATAAATTAATCATATCATCGTATTATATTAATTAATTACCTGAAAGTGCTTCATGTACTTTTGACGGTAGTAGCTCCACAAATGCAAAGGGAAGTAGCCGCTGCATAAAGACATGACAATCATGGCTCTTTATCACGGAAAACTTTTGCCTTTCTCAACACATCTTGAGAGATTTGAAACATACTCATTAGGGAACTTCACTTCTGAAGCCACCTAGTTGAACAACGCAGACTTTTTTTCTGATGACAGTCTGAATATTGGAACTGGAACTTGCCCATTGCTTTTTATATGTAGCTCACTCCTTGAGCAGATATCGGGTAAGTCCAACCTCGATTTTACGTTGTCTTTCGTCTTCCCTGGGACATTCAATATAGTGTTCACAATGTTCTCAAAAAAGTTCTTCTCTACATGCATCACATCGAGGTTGTAGCGCAAAAGAAGATCTTTCCAATATGGCAATTCCCAAAATATACTCTTTTTGTGCCAATTGTGCTGAACACCATAAGAATCATGCATAATACTCGGAACATGCCAATTCCCACCACGAAGAGCTGTTTCTAGAGCACCGTAGTAATCGAATTGCGCCTCGATTTGTTCTCCAGTTAAATATGGAGGAGGAGTGTCTCTGACAACCCTTTTGTGCCTGAACAATTTCTTGTTTCTTCGGTATGGGTGGTAATTAGGAAGAAATTGACGGTGACAATCGAACCAACTAGTCTTCCTACAATGCTTCAACTGAAACGCATCTGTCATTCCATTACAATATGGACAAGCTAATCTCCCATGTGTAGTCCACCCAGACAACATCCCATATGCAGGAAAGTCACTTATGGTCCACAAAAGCATCGCTCGCATCACATAGGAGAGAAGAAACCAAAACCGAACTCCATCTTGTCATCTCTGGAGAAATCATTAGACAAGATGAAGAAGAGAGAATATTTTTGAAATCTATTTTTTTTCAAGAATTTTCTTTTCAGACACAAGTTTAATCTTTTCTCCCTCCCTCAAAGCTGGTATGAAAAGATTTTAATCTTTCATCAAGAAGCTTAAACAATGAGGAGATCCAGGGGAGAGTCATTGATTTAAATTTTTTTTTTTTAAAGACTTGCATCTTGACTAAACCCTCAGATTTTGAAACTATACTTCATCTAAACTCTCTACTGTCCAAGTTTTGAATCCTAGCCACACAGCTCCTCAAAACAAAATTTAAAGTGAGAGAGAGAGTATTAGAATGAAGAAAAATGAAATAAAATAAGTGAGTTCTGCCCAAGAGACCAACTAGGCTCTGATACCATGTTGGAAAAGCTAAGAGTAGTTAAGAACATGAACTCACTCTTTAGGAATGGAAGAGACAATCAACTTGTGATTGAATCCTCTCAGCAAACAATCAATACAACCATCTGAATCTAGAGAGATAAAGTGGCTGTGAGATTGATTTAAGAACTAGAATTAAACTAGAAACAGATTAAAGAAGAGTTTAGAGGTGATTTAGACAAGTATTAGGCTGCCTTTAGAGAGATAGAGCAAAGGTAGCCTCTAAACCATAATGCTTAACTCCCTACATTGTGAATATTGTTTAGACACAAGATAGAGAGAGAGAGCCACGAAATTAGACTGAGAGAACATGTATTGATACTGGATAAATGTTACAAGAGGTGGTGAAGTCTTTAAATAGACAATCACTTACAATAAACAAAGATTAAATCAGGAATGACTAAACAAATATTATTGTGGGGT